TTATGGTTTTGACCTCCGTCTGCTAGATGCTGCAGGAAGCAACTTGCCCAAATGAGCCCGGGAGCAGCACCCAGCTGTCCTGAGCTCCCCGCCAGGTCTGCCTCTGCTCAGGACACCTTCCCACGTGGGTGGGATCCTGATGGAAAAAAAATCCCCAATTTTCGGATTAAAAAAGGTAATCCGAAATCCCAAATTTTCCATGATTAAAACGAAACGCCACTAATATGATATGTATATAGTGGTGTTTCATTTTAATCATGGAAAAATGTAGATTTGAGGTCATATTTTTTTTTAGCCTGAACATTGGGGATTTTTTAAAATCGGAGAAAATCAGGAGCGTGCTTGTCTCTGCTCAGGACACCTTCCCGCGCCGGTGACGAGCGTGCTCGTATTCAAGGATGCCAGAGACGAGTGGCCTGTCCAGTTGCATGTCACGAATGCCAGCTCAGGGTCTGATTCGAATACCCCCTGTTTAAACACCTTGGCCGCCTTGCCCATTTCGCCAGGCTGGCTCCTGGCCTGGTCCGAGGGTTAAGCCCTCCAGGCATGCTCCACCGCTGATGCAGCTCCTGCTGGGCTGAGCGGCTGGAGTAGGTCGCTCCGCGTCTGCTTTACAATGCGTGCTCTTTGCAATGGGAGGAAGGCTTCCAAGAACCTCCACCTAGTTCCTTAATAAGGAAGCCTTTGTTTTCCTGACGCACAATGCGGCTTTATTTCATTCTGTGGCTTTCCTCCCAACTGCATCCCACAAAACTCTCTTCACCCAGCTAGGGAGCAAGCCTGAAAGGTGTCTGAAGTTTATAAAGCAGAGAGAGTGTTGTTTGCGGTTCAGGTGCTGGAGTAAAATCTTCCTCGCCTTGGCACCCAAACAGCTGCAGAGACACCCTCGTAGACAGACGGAGGTGGCCTGGGCACAGCGCTTGGGAGGTACCCATCCTGGGCTGCAAAGCCAGCGAGAAGGTCCCTTCTGTTCCCAGCACCCCCGTGGGTTTGTTAATGAATTATTTGCACCTTGATAGACATTGAGCAGTGTCTGTGAGAAAACCTTAAGGTCGTAGAGGCCATAAAAGCCAAAGACTGCAGACACCATAAAACGACTGGGAGCGGCTGTGGGCAGGGGATGCGCTCCTGTAGCCCAAGAGGGAGAAAGGTTGACCACCCCCAGACCTGTTGCATTTGCCTGGCGAGTGGAGGCAGGTCTTGCTTCTTTTTGATCTGCCTGAAGGAGGGGAGATGGCATTAAGCTGGCATTGGTGGCAGCAGTCCCTTGATTTAAGGATGACCTCTACCACGGTTCTTGAGGTCCAGTCCTTGAGCCGCCGAAGTTGCAGGTCTTTCCGCTCGAAGCAGCCGAGCCCTGACGCATCCCTCCGGAGCAGCACCGGCACGTGGCTGCGTGGATCCTCCTCTCCACGAGATCCCACCGTGCACCAGGTGTTTCCCACTGCTGATGAGGCTGGAAGCAGGGGGAGGAAGGAGAGCTAGCCCCGTTATCCCCCCTTTGCAAGCTTAGCCAGGCATCTCATTGGGTTCCCACAGGGACCTTGAATCATCTTTGGGGTCTGCTATTATCTGGACCCCGAAGTGCATGTGCACGGGGGCGGATTTGTGACCCATTTGGGAGTGGGCTGTAAGCCGGACCCCTCTGGTCCCTCCCAATATCATTCACCTTCCTTCATTTTCCCTTCCCCACGTCTCCTGCCTTTTGCTCTGCTCCCATCCCAGCTTTCTCACCGACTCCTTGTTTTAAGCTCGGCCGGTGGTGAGAGGTCACAGAGGGGTTTGCCCCACTCCCTGGGGCCGTGGGGAGTAGGGGGAGGGCGGGAAGAGAGCCTGCGGTTTCTTTTCGGACAGACCCCTCCATTCACACTTCCCTCTCCCACCCATTAATTTGTTGTGGTCAGGGCTAGTAATAGCTGCTTTGTGCTAAGGCGAGGGAAGAAGGAAAAAAAAAAAACCCCAGAGCACAGACAGCAGCTCCACTGTTTTCTAAAAGGGATGTTTTCCCCCCCTCTTCTCCCTTGAATAATGTTTTTGATTGTAATAGTCTGTCCTGGTTAAGGAAACCCACAGCCTCCCCCCCTAGCCCGCCTCTCTCTCTCTCTCCTGTAAACCATGGTAGAAGTTTAAACAACCCAGAGCGATTTTTCTCACCAGTCTTATTTTACTAATAGGAAACAAGTGTTTAAAGCAGCAAAGGGAGCTTTCATCCGCCTGGCGAACGAGCGGCACTGGCTTTGAGCGGAGGTTTCGGGTCCCTTTAGGGGCTGGGAGGCTGCAGGGTCTGTCCCGGCTCTCTGTGCTAGAGCTGGAATTGCAGTGTGGACCTGGGGATGTCTTGCAAAGGGTTCGTGTGCGCTCCCTGCTCCGGGATTACCACCCGACAGGGCTCCCGTAGTGTGGGTGCACCCTGACTTAGCACCACGGACTAGGGTGGAGGCGTGCCCGTTGCATTGGCATTGACTTTGGGCTGTCTGAGTGGGGGGCAGCATTTTAACCAGTGCAAACCAGCTTCTTGTCTTCTCCCAGGCCAAACGCATGGGTATCATGCTATAAGTGCCCCCTCCCCAAAACCAGCTCACTCTTCTCCTCCAAACCATTCCTTTGAACTGGTCCCTACAGTGATGCCTAAAAACCCAAATAATTGTTTGGGAGCTGCGGGGGCCACAAGCACTGTTTTTTATCCTAATAGTATCATCCTTGCAGGATGCTTGCTAGGACATGGCGTCTCAGATGAGGATTTATGTTCGGTGTCGGAGTATGGGCAGGGAAAGCCCAGCCCAGCCCAGAGGTGTGAGCTTTGCCTGGATGGTGCCCTCCAGGGCACTGAGCCCTTCATGTCCATGAGGGCCGAGCCCATTTGTCAAACTCAGAGTGAAATAAGTGATGCTTTTAAGGGTCATTGAGGAAAACCTTGTGTGAAAGAGCTCAGAGAGGGCATGAAAATCTCCTTTCCAACCTGGAAGCAATGAAGAGCACGCTGGTACCTGCCAGCCCCTCATTTTCTAGCAGCCACACTGGCGCTGCCATGCCAGGGGTCTTATATAGTGAATGTGTGCATTTGCAGAGTGCATTTGCAGCAATAGTGGTATGCAGATGCTCAGTGCAAAGGCCACCTTCACCGCAGCTGGCTCTCCTTCCCTCCACATGAGCCCCCGACCCTGCAGCATTGCTGAGGGGAGCAAGGCATTTCTCAAGGAGACGGAGTCCAAAGAGATGTGCTGGGGCTGGGGAGGGGAGTGCTGCTTGCTTGGCTCCTTGCCTGGGGGTTAAGTCTTAGCAGCTGCTCCGCCGTTCCTCATGTCCCTGGTTTGAGAGCTCTCGAGGCCCCTGCGGCATCAATTGAGGTGACTTTTAGGCCCTGAGAAACCAACTTCACAGGCCTGTATCATGCCTACAACTGAGGCCATCTCGGTGCTTCTTCTGGTTTTGGAGTTTGCCCGTCACCTTCATTATTCAGTTGTCTTTTCTTGCTTGGGAAAGGTGACTTGAATGCCGGGTGCTGTCTTCCCCCTCCCCAGCAACCCTCCCACCCCACCCTGCCGACCATGCCAGGGCATGGCTAGCATCCTTGGTGGCAAGCCTGCTCATCATTGTGCCATGAGAGCATGGAACGGGATGCTTATAGCAGGTGTAGGGGACCCGCTCCCGTAACCAGCTTGCTTTTGACGTGAGGCCTCTTTGCAACCCTGCTGCCGAGAGGAAAAGCGGTGGTTAGAGCATGAAATGAAGTGCAGCCCGTGGGCCTCTCCTGATTGCTCTCCACCCCCTGTGCTGCTCTTTGGGCAGCTCGGTGCACGCACGCGGTCCCTCACCCCCGTGGCTGCACGGCTGGGGTGAGGTGGAGCTGTCCCTAATCTATCCGTGTCTGGTTTTGCTCATGGAGCAGGCTGGGCTGCAGCCACGTTTGATGCAGGGGTAGCCCCGGGGGCACTGCCCCTTCTCTGGCACCGAGATCTGCTCACTGCTGTGCGTGGACGTGGCCCTGAGTACCCTCAGGAGCCATTTCCCACCCCGCCTAAAGCCCGTAGGTGAAGTGCACGCTTCCTTCCTCCCGATGCACCCTCCAGCTCTGCGCCCCAGGCAGGAGGTGATAAAAGCTAACAATAGAGTGACTGTACAACGCCGCAAACAAAGGGGAGATTAATAGCAAATGAGAGGGATTAACCCCGGCGTTATCTGATGGCGGCTATCACAGCAGGCTGAAACCGGAGATCATCTAATGGGCCTGTCTGTGAAGGCAGAGGCACCTGAGAGAGGAGGAAACCAGCTCTTTTTGGAGAGCCAGCAATGCAGGGCTGCCTCCGATAAATGGTGGGGAGCCCCTTTGGTGCAGAGCCCGGGAGCTGAGCAGCCGCTGGAGCACGCAAGAGTCGTGGTGGCAACTTGAGTGGCCCAAAACCTGGACCGTGGAGCCCAAAGGTCTCCTTCACTTGGTGTTTCCAGCCCCCGGGATGCTTTGTCTGCAGCAGTGTGGCCGTCTGAAGCCTCCAGCGCAGCCTGGCTCTGGCGTGGACCTTCACGTAGAGGAGCAGAGGGTCATTTTATCTTGATGGGACTTGCCAGTTTGTCCGCACAACACACACGAATCCTTGTGGCTGCATATCGCACCCAAGGGGAGGGTGTGCTGTGTGGTGCCACGGCTTTGCCAGCCTCCCAGGCCCCTTGAAGAAGCCCTGTTCCCCACGGTCACAGTTTTGGGAGTGAGTTGGAAAGGCCCTCCAGCAAGCCGCTCTTCTTCTCCTCTGCATTTCCTTGGCTTCCAGGGAGGGTGTTAAGGTTGATTAACTGATGTAAAGCACTTTGAAGATGAAACTCGCTGTGTAAGTGCAAAGTATTAGCATGATTAGAAGAGTCCCCAAGGGCTGAACGCACTTCCATTTGAGAGACATATTTAATAACTGTATTTGTTTTTAAGGCGGCTGTGGCAGCCTGCCCTCCCCCTCCCAAAGGAATGCGATACGACGTGCACATTTGGTGTCGTGTGTTTTTTTTTGCAGAAACTTAGCCATTGGGATCGGAATCCAGAATTTCCCAGAAGGCCTTGCTGTCAGTCTCCCATTGCGTGGCGCTGGCTTTTCCACCTGGAAAGCGTTTTGGTGAGTAGGGCTCCTCTGCATGGTTGCTTGCACTCTGCAACACACACCTGAGAGGCAGTCTCGGGTTGACCCTAGACAATCCGGGTGGGAAGGGACCTCAGGAGGTCACGTCTAGTCCAGCCCCCTGCTCCGAGCAGGACTCTGCCCAACGATCTCATCCCAGCCAAGGCTTTGTCTAGCCAGATCTTAAAAACCTCCATGGATGGAGATGCCACCACCTCTCTGGGGAGCCTGTTCCCGTGCTTTCTCACCCTCCGAATAGAAAGTTTTTCCTAATAGCCAACCTAAAACTCCCTTGCTGCAACTTGAGACGTTGCTCCTTGTTCTGTCGTCTGCCACCAGTGCCGGTAATAACACCCCCAGCTGATGGTCCTGGATTGCACATATCCATTTGCAATGATCCCCTATGGCTGGTGCATATTCAGGACTCCTCAGGGCCTTGACATTTTGCTGCATCCTGCAGCTGGTCCGGGCAGTCGCTAGGAGAGTGCTGCAAGTGCTTATTATCAGTCTCTATGTTCACAGGACTGGACATTTGCCTGATTTCCACCTTTGAGAAAAGGAAACATGCTCTTCTGCCCTTCCAAAGCAGCCCCATCCTGGCTGGCTTGAATTGTGGTCTTGGAGAACAGTGGTCTTGGGCATGGGAAGGGAACCTTGACCTGTATGAACCAAAGAGGGATGAGCAAGACTGAGAGCGAGCACACGAGTGCGGTGCTTTATCTAGAAATGCAAACCTGTAGAGCTCTGGGTTCACAGATGTTACCTTTTATTAGACCAACTAATGAATGCATGATTAAAATTTAGTAGACCAACTAATACATTTATTAGACCAACTAATAAACTAATAAAAGGCATCATCTCTGAACCAAGAGTTCTAGAGGTTTGCATTTCTTTTCGTCGCAGACCAACACGGCTCTCAAATACATCCCTGAAACATGGAAGGTGTCTATCTAGAGCATCCCCTGCCTCTCGGTTCTCCCCTGCACAGATCAGAGCCCCTGGTCTCTGCTGTCCTGCATCCCATTTCGAGGGCTGTCCTAAGAGCAGCAGGAGAAGCTGGGGGCAGGGAGCTCTCTCCGATGGAGAACATCCCTGCGGTTCACACCAGCTCATTTTGTTGGCTATTTAGCACTTGCGGTTAACTCACAAGGCTTAAAAACAGCTTTTTTCTCACTTGGCTCTGGGCTGGATTTCAAACCCACGTCTCTTCCTGAGGCGAAAGAGCCAAGGGTGTGAACTCTGGGAGCATGAGGCCGCGGCGCTGCTGGCACCTGTGTGCTAAGTGCCATGATGGAGAGGAGGTTACGGGGAAGACGGGTGGGGAATTTCTCCCCCTCCCATAATTAAATGAATGCATCTTGCTGCACTGCTCACCTGAGACAGACACTAAGGAGAGGGGTGGTAAGCTGGAGGGTTATAACAGCATGCACGACCCCGATGTTTGAAAGGGTCTGCAAGCCAGAGGAGGAGGGAGAGGGGTTTTGTTCAGGCCCGCCTGCAGCCGGCTCTGATCTGTCAGGTGCTGCCTGGTGCTGTCTGGTACAGAGGACAGGTGCTTGCACACTTGGGTCCGTGTCCTTGGAGGCTTGTGTCTTGTGTCATGCTGCACCATGGCAAGGTGATGTTGCCCGGAAGATGCAATGCCAGTTAGGCCCAGGGAAGCTTTCCCGCTCCCCACCTCGGGGGCTGGGCTTCACAGCATCCTACAGGTCCCCCCTTGGAGGAGGCATGGGAGAGAGAGAGACTTCCAGATCTCTTTGGAGATGCCTGGTGTGCGCTCAGCACATAGGGAGGAATCCAGGCCAGAGCCCCTGCCTCAGCTCCGACTCTGTTTGCTGTTCCTGTGCATTTTTACACTTGAATTTCCAATCTTTCCATTGCTCTGCAGGGGGTCCGGTCTGCCCTGTCTCAGGTCCTAGAGACACCAACTGCACCTTGTGTGACCAGTTTGCGTGTTTTATCTGACACTGAACATGTCTGTTCGCGCTGCTGCTCTTGTTGCCTGTGTTTGTGCATCCACGTCGCTCCCAGTGCATTCTGGCAGCGGTTCCCCAGTGTTGTGCCACGAGATATTGCACCCAAAGGATGGCAACCTAATGTGGCATTGGGTAACATATGCTGGGTGTCTTGCCATGCAGGGAGCTGGGAGGAAGGCGTGTTGGTGAAATCGGTTAGATGGGAGTGGGGGGCTATGAAATGAGGGTGTAGGACCAGTTAGAGAAGGGGGTGTAGGACCAGTTAGAGAGAGCAAAGGCAGCCCTTAGTAGGATAGACACTGGCCTTCAGACCACCAGCCGGGGACAGAGTTGGCCAAATGCGGTCGCACAGATAGAGACCTGAGAGGCAACCCTGGTTCTCCCCAGACTCATTGAACAGCTTTAGAGCCACATGTCTGGATCACAGGGCCTCAAGCCTCATAATGTGGGGAAGAATAGGGTCCCTGGTAGGTTGCTTGACTGTACGTGGAGCCTCAGGTCCCCAGCATTGCCTACAATGTCCTGCGTCTCTTGAGACCTTGCCCAGCGGGGCTCAGCCGTGTTTCTTTTCCAGGTACGGACAGCTCAGCGGCATGGTGGAGCCGATCGCTGGCATCTTCGGTGCCTTTGCCGTGGTAGTGGCGGAGCCCCTCCTCCCCTACGCCTTGGGCTTTGCGGCCGGCGCGATGGTCTATGTGGTCATGGATGACATCATCCCCGAAGCACAAACCAGGTGAAGGACTGCTGGGCAATACCGCCACATGCTCTGTCTGGCCTGTGTTAATGACTCAATTCTTGCTGCAGAGGTGTGAAAAGCCCTTTTTCTAAGGCACATGCTGGGTTTTTTCTTTTTCTTTTTTTTTTAAGGTATTTGTTTCATTTCAGGAGTGTTCAGGTTGAACTCATCACCTTTGTTTCTAGGCTGGGGCAAGGCTGTAGGTCTTCAAGGGTTACAGATGTTTCTGCCTTTCGAGACCTCCCTTATTGCAGCTGCCGGAAACATTTCTAACAGGATATATGGACGCACTTATTACTTCAACACTGCTCCACCTAGTCTTAAGTTGGGGCAGTTTTGCTACATTCATATCATCCCTGGTTGGTCCATAATTGACAATTAGAGCGTAATAGCTGCTGCCCTTTTGACAATTTCCCCTTTTGAAATGACTCTAAATGTATGGCCATGCACTAGCACCAAAATGGCTCCAAATGGATGTGTCTGTGCACTAGCACCTAAATGGATGCGTGTCCATGCACTAGCACCTAAATGGCTCCAAATGGATGTGTGTCCATGCACTAGCACTTAAATGGATGTGTGTCCGTGCACTAGCACCTAAATGGATGTGTGTCTGTGCACGAGCACCTAAATGGTTGCATGTCCATGCACTAGCACCTAAATGGCTCCAAATGGATGTGTGTCCGTACACTAGCACCTAAATGGATGCGTGTCCATGCACTAGCACTGAAATGGCTCCGAATGAATGTGTGTTCATGCACAAGCACCTAAATGCCTGAACCTGGTTGGACTCCATTGTGCTAGACCCTGTACAAAATGCACCGTAAATGACTCTCCCAGCTGCAAAGTCTTGACATTTTAAGTCTGCCCGCGTGTCGTCCATTAAGTTTGGTGCAGTTGCATGTCTGAATCCTCTAAAAGCAGGCTTTGAAAAGCCTCAGCCCTTTGGTCTTTGAGATGGTTCAGTGGTGGAGGGAGATCAAGCTTAATGTTTAAGGTGCAAAAAAGAAAGCTGTAAACTGAATGCCAGCCCCTGGGCAGTAAAGGAGTCCATTCTGAATGATGGCGCAGGGTGATACTCCAGGCAGCATGGATGCGTCTTGTTTCGTTTGGAAAAGGGGTTCAAGTGATGTGAAGCTTATAAAGGGCTGGGGGAACAAAGAAGACGGTGGAAGAGTCCTTGCTTTGTGTAGGCCAGATGACAAGCCGACCTTCTCTTGAGCCTTAAATTAACATCCTTAAATGAACACAGGAGTTCACTCTCTCTCCTTTTCTCCTAACAGTGGCAATGGGAAGCTGGCTTCCTGGACCTCCATCTTAGGGTTTGTGGTGATGATGTCCTTGGATGTTGGACTCGGGTAGTGGCGGGTCACTGTTGGCCAACGGAAGATGACATCGGAGCAATTTGTGCAGCAACTGTTGGAACTGGAAACATTTTTTTGCCCTCCTAGAGTTATTTTTTGTGTATATATTTTTGATCCAGTTTGGTGTTGATTACCTATGATTTTATATATATCTTTTTTTTTTGTGTTTTTTTTTGTGGACCTGTGACCTCATGTTGACAGTTTTCAAAGCACAGACAGGTGGCTCCTTGCAGGTCCTGGGTTTCCTCTGCCACCAGATGTTTTTTTTCTCTACAGGGTTGTGGATAAGACATGTATCAGCCAGGCTGCTATTTGCTGTTGACTTTTCCTTCAGTTCTGGGACATGTGTCTATGTCTGTAATGGTCAGGTCTCTCTGTTATTTTTGATTCATCTGTAGGTGATTAGAAACTTGTGGTCAAATGTCTGAACTGGTTTGTGGTTAAGCACTGGGACTCTTGACTGGGATAAATGATCAAAAGTGTCTGCACTTCTGAATTCATCTTGGGTGTCTGGAAGTACCAGCACATCTATAATCTACACAGGTATGTCGGTAGCAGCACATCTCATCTATCTTCCTGGTCCTTGGGGTTGTTTTGTTTTGTTTTAATGGCATTAGTCGTTTGGATGGATACAAGTAGTTTGGACCAATAGAAATGAAACTTTATGGGCACCTCGTCCAGCTGGAAAAGCGGGGAAGGCAACTGGTTTCCCCTTGGTGCATGTCTTCTACATGGGGCCTTATTGTACACTAGTGATATTTGTCCGGTGCTCTGGTATTTGCTCGTGTTTTATATCATTGATAGATCACCGGTTCGGTGAAAACTCCCTTGAAACACTAACACGTGCTCTTCCCGGAGGATGCTCTCTTAGCTTTCCATCTCCGGCTTCCCCCTGAAGGCGCCTGCATTAAGTTAGAAGAGCCCGGCCTTGTTAACACAGCTCATTTTCCAGGTCTAATAGGACTGATCAGTTAATTGCCCAACGTGAGCAGTCAGAAATGCACCAGCTCAGCTTTTTTCTTTCTTTTTTCAAGCATATTTTTTTTGTTTTGGCTCATCATCATTCCCCAACTGCGGAGCAACGTGTTTTAACAGATCGGGAACAAGCCGTGCTTCTCGCAGGTGGACGCACACTTGTACAGTCAGCACGAGGGAATCTGATGGCTTCACATAAAGCTGCAGAATGCAGCACCGAAGTCGACCGCGTAATTGAGGCAAAACGCACATCCCTCCTCACTTTCGAGGAAGACATCCCCCCGGAAAGGGGTTTGATTAGACACGTTGGCTGGCACCGTGAGTCACCGATTGCCTGGCTGATATTCAGACTATTCGTGCCCTCTGGGCTTAAATTTGTAACCAATTAATTTTTAAGCATCCTAGACCATGTATTGTGGAAGCACCGTCTTCAATAAGCTCGCTCTCAGTCCTCTTTGAGAAGTTGTAGGATCACAGCCAAAGGGAATAGATATAAATGAACTAAGTGAAAGCCGTGGAATTTTTCCCTGGCTCATTTTGTTGGCTGGATTTCATTTGTACTTATCTGTATGTCGTCCAGGATACTACAAAAACGCTGTTTGCCAGTTGGTCTGACCTTTTAACTGTGATTGGTTCCAATAAATGGGAAGTTGAAAGTTTGTACTGACTTAAATCTGCTCTATTTAACCCTTAACAGAATCCCCAGAGAAGAAAAGTTGCATTCCCTCTTCATTTTTAGCTTCTTGGTTTGTCCAAGGTTTTTATGAGACGGCCTCCAAATTAGGCATCTCCAGTCCAAAAGGTAACCTGTCCCAAGCATGACACTGTTACCTCGTCTCGGTAGCTAGACACCCTTCAAGTAAAGTTTGCTGGATTCATCGTGCAGACGATCCATCCATCCTGATGTGGGTCTATGCTGGATGCACTGGAGAGACGGTGAAAACAAAGCTCTGGGGAACAGGTATGGAAACCCCGGCCCCACTAAAGAAAGACAGTAAAGAAAGCCATTCTTGATGAACTTTCTCGTAGCACAGGCAAAGCTGGTGATGGGGCTGAGGGCTTCAAGGCACTGAAATGGGCTACTGAATGCACCCCCACGGCCTAGATTTCAGGTGCTTTTTCATCGACTCTTATTGCGATCGCAGGAGCACGTGGCTCACGGGTAAGGTGGTTGTATTAATCTGGGTGGCCTGCGTGCTGCACAGGCTGAGATTTGTAGACCTAGCAGAGGTCGAGGATAGCTTGGTAATGGAAGGCAATCTGCCCAGTTGAAGACGGAGGCCACGTATTGGGGAATTTGGCGCTGTTATTTATGTGTGGACCTCAAAGCTGCAAGGCCCTGAGGGCAGTAACCACATCACTTCCCTTCATTTGGCCATTTGGACAGTTGAGAGAACTACGCACACTGCCCTTTCCAACTCCTATCATCATAGCCTGCAAACCGCTTTGGAGGCTACACCCGGCACAGAGGTGACGTTGAATCACAAACCTTTTCCTGGAGAATTGCTTTTTCCACATAGGGATCTGAAAGTGCTTTATAGCAGTGGGTAAGTAGCATTGTCTCCATGTCACAGGTGGGAAAACTGAGGCAGAGGTCTGAGAAATGACTTGCCAGCATGATGCAGTGAATTGGGGGTCGAAGCAAAGCCTTCTTGCTCTTGGTCTTGCAATCTGTCCATGGGCAAAATGTTCTTGGAAGGGGGTAAACCCTTATTTTCATCCGGTGAAGCTGGTATAACTCCCAACTTGTCCATTTGCATCCATGAGGACAGGAAGAGTTTGTGAGGGTGTTTTTCCCAGAGTCGTGGTGGAAGAGGCAGAAGCATCGGGGGTGTTAGATTATCTCCCAGTCAGGATTTTCAAGTGGAGCGTCTGTAAGTGATGTTTTCTTATTTGATTTCTGGCGTGCGGTGTGAACTGGTGGAAAAAACCCACATTATTAATTTAAAAGAAAACCTTGTAATCAGCTCGCTGGGAGATAATATCACTTAATGCACTTAATCCTGCTTAGATGTAGCCCGCTAAGATAATTATGTATGTTCGACCCGTAGAAATGGGGAGGTGGGAGAGTGATGTTGGAAAACAACCTGTGAAAAATCCTCCTTGTCTACCCGTGCCCCAGAGGGGAATGCAATTAGATATCTATTTCTTGCCGTGATTGGAAGTCTGGCTGCGATCCAGGCATGAAATGATGCGTGGAAACAATAGCTGTCAGGTAAAAGGCGGAGTCCTAAGCAAATACAATACAAACATATGGTCAGACCATACGAGAAGGAGGAGACTGATTCAGCTCGTCATCCTGGGGTCCGGCTGCTACCGTAGGAAGAAACTACATTGGACAGAGGTGTAATAGGAAGGGTTGAACACTGCTTAGGAGACCAGCCTGACCCATGGAAGTGCTGCAGGTTGCATCCATGACACAAGAGTCCCCGTGTGACCTTTTTTAGCACTGCAATCC